CCCCTCCTCCTCCTCCTCCCCCTACTCCAACACCTCCCCTCCTCCTCCTGCCTCCTACTCCTCCTCCATCACCTTCTCCCCTCCTCCTCCTCCTCCTTCTCCATCACCTTCTCTCCTCCTCCTCATCCTCCTCTTCCTCCTGCCCCCTCCTCCTCCTCCTCCATGACCTTCTTCATTCGATCTCCATCACCTTCTCCCCTCCTCCTCCTCCTCCTTCACCATCACCTTCTCTCCTCCTCCTCATCCTCCTCTTCCTCCTGCCCCCTCCTCCTCCTCCTCCATGACCTTCTTCATTCGATCTCCATCACCTTCTCCCCTCCTCCTCCTCCTCCTTCTCCATCACCTTCTCTCCTCCTCCTCATCCTCCTCTTCCTCCTGCCCCCTCCTCCTCCTCCTCCATGACCTTCTTCATTCGATCTCCATCACCTTCTCCGCTCCTCCTCCTCCCCCTCCTCCCCTCCTCCTCTTCCTCCTTCTCTCCTCCTCCCCCTACTCGATCACCCTCTCCCCTCCTCCTCCTCCTCCTCCTCCTCCTGCCCCCTACTCCTCCTCCATAACCGTCTTTATTCGATCTCCATCACCTTCTCTGCTCCTCCTCCTCCCCCTCCTCCATCACCTTCTCTCCTCCTCCTCCTCCTCATCCTCCTCTTCCTCCTGCCCCCTCCTCCTCCTCCTCCATGACCTTCTTCATTCGATCTCCATCACCTTCTCCGCTCCTCCTCCTCCCCCTCCTCCCCTCCTCTTCCTCCTTCCCTCCTCCTTCTCCCTCTACTCCATCACCTTCTCCCCTCCTCCTCCTGCCCCTATTCCTCCTCCATGACCTTCTTCATTCGATCTCCATCACCTTCTCCGCTCCTCCTCTTCCTCCTCCCCTCCTCCCCTCCTCCTCCCGCTACTCCATCACCTTCTCCCCTCCTCCTCCTCCTACTCCATCACCTTCTCCCCTCCTCCTCCTCCTCCTCCTCCTCATGCCCCCTACTCCTCCTCCATGACCATCTCCATTCGATCTCCATCACTTTCTCCGCTCCTCCTCCCCCTCCTTCCCTCCTCCTCCTCTTCCTCTCCCTCCTCCCCTCCTCCTCTTCCTCCCCATACTCCACCACCTTCTCCCCTCCTCCTCCTCCTCCCCCTCCTCCCTTCCTCTTCCTCCTCCTCCCCCTACTCCATCACCTCCCTTCATCCTCCTCCTCTTGCCCTCCTTCTCCTCCTCCTATGCCCCTACTCCTCCATGACCTTCATTCGATCTCCATCACCTCCGCTCCTCCTCCTCCTCCTCCTGCCCCCTACTCCTCCTCCATGACCTTCATTCAATCTCCATTACCTTCTCTGCTCCTCCCCCTCCTCCTCCCCTCCTCCTCCTCCTCCCCTCCTCCTCCCTCTACTCCTTCCTTCCTTCCTCCCTCCCTCCCCCAATGCTTGGTATATGGTTATGTTTATGTATTATAATAGTGGGCCACGTCGAAGACTTGTGATAAACTATTATAATACTGGGCCACCATACTCAGCGGTATATGGTTATGTTTATGTATTATAACGGTGGGCCACGTCGAATACTTGTGATAAACTGTTACACTGGGCCACCATAGCGCACAGTCTTCATGCCATATACAGTTGTAGTTGGGCTGGTGCTATAAGAGGAGCTTTGTAAGCCACACACAGAAATTCTATGTACTGTATAGATGTATTCTATGTTAAAGGCAGGCATGTATTTTTAGGTCAGTGGGGGTAGGGGCAGGGCAGCAGCTGCTGCTCACTGTCCATGAATTCATCATTATTTGATCAGTGTCACTGTGTTTAGTATTCAATATCTATCACAAATGAGACAATTGCATTTGTTTTCCATATAATTAAGGTCTTCCACGTTGAATGTGCCCTTCAGTTTTATGTCCACTGTATCCCCTATAGTGGCAATTATCTATGCAGTTGTAATCATACCACCAAGAGTAATATGTTTTCTCTACTTGTAAAAAAAGGAACTTTACCTGCTACTCATCTAACTATACTCAATAATACAGATTTTGCACCGATGATAAACTTCTTTTTTTTTCATGAAATGTTCTGGTGTGTTTTCTGTGTGAAACCCGCAGGACGGTGCTCCAGTTGTGTCTGATAATGCATCCGTCGAAACGAATGAGATTGATCAAACTGCAGTGGTACGTTTCTGCCAACTATTGCAGGCAGCAGCAGTGACAGCATGATTAATGCATCCTGTACTCTTCATTCACAGCCACCAGGATGCACGTATTGAATGTGCCATGTGCTTGCATGTGTAAAAGTAGTGTTATATAGTAAGGCTGATAGGGTCTATGTCCCCCAGGGTACTGCCGGAACGTACTCTGGGTACGGTCCGGTATACCGGAACGTACCCTGGTACTAAATACTACTATCTAATATGCCGGACCGTACCTCGCCTACTCCACTAACAAGTCTAGGGAGTCGCCTACGCCTACTCCCTAACCCTAACTCTAACCCTAACCCTAACTCTAACCCTAACCCTAACACTAACACTAACCCTAACCCTAACCATATCAGCTAGATAGTTACCAGTGTACGTTCCGGTATACCGGACCGTACCCAGGGTACGTTCCGGCAGTACCCTGGGGGACATAGACCCTATCAGCGTTAGTAAGTAACAGCATATTCCCCAAACGTCATTTTCAGTTGTACACGAATGCGAGTCCTGGTGGTGTGTATACCCTAAATATCAGTTAATAGTAAATATTTGTGCATTACTTCAGTTTTCAGTACATATTTACATTTCTGTCTTCAGTTTTGTTCTGTAATGTACTACAACCCATTTATTACTATGGTTGTACTTAGCGTAGTCAAATTTAATTTCTTAAGGTTTCAGCAGTGTGTGTGAAGCCATTATTTAACTGAGTATACTCATCTATAGATCATAATGAACAGTTATAGTTTACATTTACAAACTTTATATAGTTTATACGTTTGTGGTTTCTGTATATGCATGTGTCACATTAATTGTAGTTTAGTGTATCAATTGCTACAGTAATTGCATGGTCTTATGTAATAAAAATTTGCCAATCCGTATATGTTTTATTACGAGGTGTCTGACCACTGCTGTACAGGCACTGGTATCGTAGCTGGCCACTGTTGAGCATGTGTGTGTAAGTGAAAAATATAAGTGTACATCCCGTGTTTCATGCAGGTGCCAGCTAAGGAGTCTACAGCCAGGGAACCATGGACCAAGGTTGCAAAGTATAAGTCTCAGGCTGAGGATCAGCTGAGAGCTCTCCTACCTGAACTCAACTATGTGGTACTGCGCCCAGCCATCGTATATGGTATAGGAGACAAGCAAGGCCTCAGTGAGTGTAACCAGAACCAAAGTAGAGCTTTACTACATCTACACAGGCATATACTGTAGTCGTGCATTTCTTTTGTTACTTCAGTACTTATGGTTATTATCTGGAAGCTATAATTGTACCTTTGCTTTTGCATATTAAAGCACCAAGGCTGATCATTGGAGCTGTGTACAAGATACTCAACGAAAAAATGCAGGTATTTATAGCGCAATCGGTTCATGAACTCATCTGTATATGGAAACATGTTAACTCAGGGAATTACTCAGCGTCTATATGCGTGATTTTTGTATATGCATAAGTTTGTGAAAATATGGCACATCTTTACATGTTACACAGTACTGTGTAAAAATCAAGTGAGCTGTTATTGTTAACGTAAACCTTCACACATTGCTGCAATGGCGATTTAAAGAGTTATTATGGTCAGAAGTGAAATGAACTCTTCATACAGTATTCAATGAGGTTATTTGTTTCTTCTCTATGCACGCACGCACGCACGTGCGCACACTTGCTCACTTGAAGTAATGGTATGCATTGTATGCCTGTTATCTTATATGTATTCTGTATGCCTTATGACTTCTTTAATTCTTTCATGTTTGTAAAAGCTGCTCTGGACAAAGGATCTTAAGATGAACACAGTTCACGTAGATGACGTCTGCCGAGCCATCTGGCATGTCTGTCACCATGGCAATGCAGGAGAGGTCTACAATCTGGTCGACAAGGGTGAAACGAGTAATGATGCTATTATTCTTTGACGGGGTGGTGGCTGGAGTAGAGGGGTAAATACAGTAGACACGTCCTTTCCGTGTAGGCGACTGTTGATCATGAATCTCATTCTGTGAAACACTGTGTTTCGTTAGCACACCACAGGTGCGGCCCTAGCTCTCATAAAAGTCACGTTATGTCGTTTATGTCATTTACTCTCCAGTCGGCCATATATGTGCATTGTCTCAATCCAGTCTGTAGCTCTAGTGTAGGTTCTTAACTAGTTAACAGGCAATGACAGGTTTAAATTGCTGTAAGGTGCTGCATCCTTACAGTCTAGCACATCGCCAGCATCATGGAGGTTTCGGAGGACAATAGTTTTGGTGATCTTGTGGTTTTTAGGAGTCGTTAATGCCCCGGTGGTTTCAGTCGTCCCATTTCTTTTAGCTCAGGGCAGGATAAGCTCTCTGATCTCTGAGATGTTCAACATCAACTATGACTACATCGGGCCTGTCATGTCCAATCTCGCTCGGCTGGACATGAGCAGTACAGTGGAGGACATCAACGACAAGCACATGGCACCGTGGGCTGAGATCCTCCAGAAGGAAGGTGACTGCCTGCTTTCCTTCGTTGTTACAGCATGTACCCACACGTTCGTACGTGCGGGTGTGTGTGAGGGTGGGCGGATCTCAATTTGAAATCAAGGCTCAGAATGTGTGACTATTACATCCAGAGCAAAAACTCCTGGTCTGTAAATGAAGTAAATGTTGTCTACTCTAGGAATAGGCAACACTCCATTGACGCCTTACATTGACCAAGAGCTGCTCTACAACAAACATATCTACCTCGACGGGAGTAAGATAGAGTCAACAGGTTTCAAGTATGAACACTTAGAACTCTGCAAAAAGACTTTGGTGGAGGTATGTATGCATGCTAATTATTTTATGACAGGTTATTCAGTAGCTTACACACAAAAGACGCTCTAATCTATACTGAGTATATGTAAAATTAGAATATTTATTGGCTTCTGGACTTGTATATTGTCTATTCTTGCAAGGGCAGTAATTAAATCACTCAATTCGTTAAGATCGTTGTGATGAATTAAGATTGCACGATGTGTGCATATCTTTAATCTTCAGTTTTGAGCTTTTGATTGATGGGTCTCTAATTTTGCTGTGGACTACCTATTTTATTTAATTATTATTTTATTAATTATTTTATTTTATTTAAGACAGGGAGTCCATTGGTCGCTCTTGATTAAAAGTTTATTTCTATACCTAGCATGATGTTGTAGTGGTGTTTAATAACTACAGTTACTACATGAACATGTATATACTTGCAGGGCATGAAATTAGTCAAAATGTAAACAGGCCCACCCAAATTTTAAACAGGCCCTCAGACAAATTGAACAGGCCCTTGAGTTCAATTTATTCCATTATTAATAAAAGTATGAGCTTTATGTTTATTAGGCATACTCATAGTATTTCAGTATTTCATTGCTATCAGTGGAGTTCTACTTGCTTGACAGGAACGATACATGAACATATGTATACTTGTTAATTCAGGGTTGGCTGTCACCGTCATGTTTTTATTGTGTTTCAGGTCGTGCAGGACTTCACTGAGATGGGACTCTTTCCGTCAGAGCTCACGCCAGGCTGAGCACATATACGGTGGTAATCCGGTGTCGTAGGCTAAAGCTGGTGCATGGTTTTGCTCAAAAGAAAATTTCTTTTAATACTCTTGTTTACACGTGGTTGCTATGCGATCTGTCGGGATATATTTTGGGTTGTGATTCGATTTCTGTATGATCGAATGATAAGAGCCATCGACTGTTGTCTGATTGCTTGTAAGAGGGTACATGTTGTGAAGTTTGCAGTTGAGGCTTGAATCTGTTCTACATCTTATTTGCCTTTTTGCTCGATAGGGACTGATTAAGTTTCGCTCAGATTTCTATCAAAAAAGCTAGCAAAATTGGGTGTGCTCTACTTGTAAACATTCCACTCGGAAAATATTTTGTGACTTTCCAGTATCACACTGATCAGGCAGAATCAAACAGTTATTAGTTAGAAGACTAATGCTTATAGTGTTTGCAATATCTGTCATACTATTGCAATCTAATGCGTAGCAAGCATGCCAATTAAGCATTAAGATGTGCAATATTGCGTTTGCCCCCTAGATAATGTATTTTCCAACGTCTTCCAACTTCTATCAACCACAATGTGAAGTTAAAAGGTTGTATAGACTGCAAATCTTATCTCATTTTTATTAGTTTTACTGCTGAAGTTTTAACATTGGCATAGATAACCGGGGCCAATGATCTGGTTGTCTTTTCATTAATCCTAGTAGGAAGTTTGACCATTTATCCTTCAAGTTAAAATCGGCCTGCACTGGTAATGTGTATGATTGGCCTGTTACTGACAAAACATTCGTGTATGGTACGACTATAACGGAATATGTTGCTCGCTTGAAAATTTACAACGGATTGCTACGAGTTAGGGTAAAGTCTCATAGCATCATTAGGCGATTTTGGCAGTAGATTGTAGCGTTCAGCACCCATTAGGGGTTCCCATCGTGATAATCATGTAACGGTGTCAGCTATGTCGTGAGAAATGTCAGCTCTTTGCTCATCTAGTCCCTCGTGTTGTTTTGCACGCGTACGTTCACCTAGTCATGTAAAGTGTAGACGTGTGTAAGACGTAGCTGCTATCTCGCGCTGCTGTGCGCGCGAACGAGTCAGTGAAGCTGATATAAAACTTACACCTACTAAAAGCTGTAGTTAGAGGCTTTAGTTGTGGCCTGTGTGATAATCAGGGAAATTACTAGTTGTGGCCAATGCTAGTGTACTGCCGATGATAATCATGTTAATTAACCTTGATAACCTTGACAAACAACCTTGATATAACCTTGATAAACAACCATGTTAAACGATCAGCTAATATCGAACTGCTTCATGTCAATTGCTAACATGGTGCAGACTATCTTTCCCAATGCCACTGGTGCTAATGCAGTAGAACCACATCCCATAGTGCTAATCTAGGCTTATTGAAATGTATGTGTCACTACATGCCGTTGGTATATTAGTTGATAACCAAGGTGAGGGAGAGCATTGTCTGGGAACATACCCAATTTTATATGTTAACTTCTCTGTCTCACTATATGGGTTAAGCGTGTCTGCTCGTTTAGGTACTGGAGAGTGTTAGGTACTTGTGGTGTTGTTCATTCCCTGTCCGTTTTCCTACTGGATACAATGAACATTTCTATTCTGTGGGATATTTCGATTTAAATGATTAATCACATCACAATGTGTGTTTACGGAAAAGATATGCTTGAAATTGTGTTAAATAGCTATGGGCACCTAAACGTGCATATGTTATGTTTAAGTAATGGGCACAGTTGCGATATTTTATACTATGACCAATACTATAAGTAATTTCAATCATTTGGTCATTAACAATCATGTTATTATAGTATATTTTTCTGGGAAATTATTTAAATCGAGGCTTTTAAATTATTGATCTGTATATTAGGCATGGTATATATATTTTTAGTTAGAAATGGTTCTTATGTTGTCAGTGTTTGAAATTGGTTCACAATACATACATATACATGCATATGTATATGTACGTATACATACATACATGTACGTACATACATACATGTACGTACATACATACATGTACGTACATACATACATGCCGGTACATACATACATACATACACGCACATGCTCACACATACACACACATACATACATGATATAATATGGTGGATTTTTATTTGGTTTATTAGCAGTGACATTATACCGTTATTTAGCAGTTAAGTATAATAATTGGAGCTAAAAAAAACTTTCAAATTTAATATAAATCTGTCTCATGCATGTGATAATGTAAGTCATGTGACTGCTATTAACGTGTATAAATTACGGGTTTAAGCAATTTATGAAGTTACTATAATAGAGCCGTTTTATTTGCCAGTGTTTCAATTTCTGGTCCATGAGATCATGTGGTAACAGATAGGTGGTAACAGATGTGGTTACTGGCCTAACGAACTGTGTTTTAGTAATAGATGAGTGATATATATGCGCTTTGTGAAGCTATGTATCCACTCACACGTCTTACGTATTGTGTAAATCCTAAAAGATAACACCTTAATTGCTAATTATTTACGATTTTTATATTCTGTTTACCTACAGTTCAATATTAACTGGGTGTGAATACAAGGAACGGCATTTAAAATTATCTAATTTTTAAAAGAGTTGAGTGGGTATTTGGCATCCCAATCCATATGACAATGTGACGAGAAAAATTGGCGTGGAAAACCAACATGAATAACGATTGCTTAATGAATGCTACTATATAATCATGCGCGCTTCCCTACCCACTTTACAACAGCATAATTTTCCCAAAGCGTACAAGAATGTGTTACCAGCCATTTTATCGTCATACCAAAGATGACAGCTGCAATAAATAGGCTAAAAACCAATGAATGTTTTTCTTTCTTTTCTTTGCAATATACTTCTAGTATAGTATCCGTGTATTAACGATATAATCACAAAAGTTTACCACTGGCTGTATGTAGTTGAAACAGTTCACAGAAGTATAGACATCAAGAGTGAAGACTCAAGAAGACCCATGTTCATGACAATAAGGGTACAGGATTAACATATACCTCCTATGTCTCCTTTATTTCCTAGGTGTTTTATAGAATTCTGTTAAACTCCAATCTTTTGACACAGCCTTCTATATTTCATATATTTTGAGTGGCTGGTAAGCTTTGGGTAACTTCTTGTTAGGGGGAGAGATCATCTATTATGGCCAAGTCTCTTGAATAGACAGATATTGGACTTTCATTGCCAAGACCATTCGTATATTCTCTATAATAATTCCTTGGCTCCTGAGATAATAAGTGGAAAGTATTTGTATGGCAATACTTTGGGAGCCAGTTTTGGAGATTTAGTGTCCATGGCATTGACATTACCAGCAACTAATCCTTGGCATAAAAGATGATATTTGTAGGATGGCTGGCACTGCAGCTCATAAGAACATCTTCACCCGAACTTGTTGTAGTCCATTATCAAGGCACTCCACTTCTATCTGGTATGTCATGTTTCCTTTCTAACATAGTTAAATTTCTCGTTTTACAACGTAAAATAGCACTTTTGACTGAAATTTCTATAAATGAAAATCAATCAATTGTCAAATTTATATCTCAGAATCGAGTGGCTGTTCTAGTAAGAAGATAAACATATGTCTGATGGTTTGAGATATATTTTTGCTCTCTTTTTATAGAGATACTAATATAATAAATTAAACATAATTGGTGAACCACCATAAATATAATTTAAATTGTGCAGTTATTACAGATATGATGTTTAACATACATACATACTCATTGCAAATATTATATAAAATTTAATATAATATTAATATAAATGTATGTATGTGTACTACCCCAGCACAATATTACAGCACAACAAATGGCATGTTCAAGATATACATATGTCCTATTATTATGCATTAAAATAGTTTTTGCTTACTCTAGTGTATGCTCCTCGCTTTGGAGTAGTGGTTTATCTTGTAGCTACTACTTACATAGTGGTGATATAGCCAGGAGCTAAAGGAGTGGCAAAGGGGTTATACTACTCAGCTTTATAACCATGGTGCTTTTGCATGTACTGTCGTTGCTATTAGTACTATAATTAACGAATAATCAATGACTTTATATAACAACTAGAGCACTCGGAGAGCGCAGACCTCCGCCAAGGCAGCTCAATTCTCTCACTGTGAAAAATTGTATTAATTAATTCATTCATTAAATAATTAATTGGATCCGGATCACCACCAAAATGTCATCAATTCTAAGTTACCCCATTTCTGACCTATCCTGAAAATTTAATTAATTAATTAATTAATTGGATCCGGATCACCACCAAAATGTAATCAATTCTAAGTTACCCCATTTCTCACCTATATCCTGAAAATTTTATTAATTAATGAATTAATGAATTGGATCCGGATCACCACCAAAATCTCATCAATTCTATAAGTTAGCCCATTTCTGACGTATCCTGAAAATTTTATGACAATCCGTCCGTAACTTTTTCAGTTAGGCTGTACACAAACCAACAAACAGTCAAACACACGCCGGTGAAAACATAACCTCCTGCTAACCCCTTGGCAGAGGTAATAACAGGTGATGAGATTGCGTGGTTCGTACTTTGCTTCCAATGTATTTTTTATGTTGGCCGTCTATTCAATTATCTGTCAACAGTTTTATGACCCTGACTTTCATTGTATATAATAGAATAAGTTCTTTTTCAGTTCTTTTTCTGCTTGTTCTTGTCAAGCCAATTCATCTGTGCATGGTTTGCCGTAAGGTGTGTAGATTAAAACTTTACTCTGCATGCATATTTACCTTTCCTGTTGTGAATGCTGAAAATTAGTTTGTCTTGTCTTGTACAGCATTTGTTTAGTGCAAAACAACAACTTCTTCTCAAACGGCTATAGTGACTGCCATCAGTTGTCGGTTCTTGTTCTCTTCAGTTTCACCTATACAATCTTTTGTATGTAAATTCTTTCAAAATCACCATGTATATATCATGAATACGCATGTAACTTACTGTTGTGCTGGGGCTTTATTATAAATTCATGTATGTCGTCGTTTATCTGTTTGTGTTACTCATTATTGGTGTTTTTGTAATAAATTTTAGGTGGACCTGGATTACACGAAGCATTCGGAGTGGAGTTGTTCTTATGAAGTTATACAGGTCATGTGCATTTCTTTGAAAAGTCAATATCCCATTCCTGCAGACTGTGAGTATCTCCGAATTGTTTCAACTTCTCTTCCAGGAACCAAGGTTGTATGGTTAATGTGTGCACAGCTTCTGCTCAATTGCTCAAAATTCTTATATTTCTCCTATATTTTGAAGGATAACCTATATTTCCTATATTTTTGTCCCATCAAGTGGCTAGGAGGTACGTCATTATGACCCTTTAATCCTAACCCTTGATTGAATGGCATTTTTTTCAGTTTCAAAATATTGATTAATAAGTTGAACATGAAAAAGCCACAACTTAAAAAATAACACTTCAACATTTTGATATAAAAATTTTGAAACATGCAAAACTATCATTCATTGAACTTATTTTATTACTTTTTGTTATATACAGTACACACATCCATTTTGCCTTAGCATTATATCCTTGCAAAACTAGTCGGAGGTTCCCATACACGTAAGTCTCAGGCATATGCTGGCTGGGTGGCGCTTTATATTTTCATTTTTATATAGAAGATTTCAAAACCTCACAAGTTACCTACGTGTCAGAATGTAATAAGGGTAATTCAAATCTCAAGTAGATGGTTTCAATCAAACATAGAGTGCCAAAATATCCTATATTTTCATTATTGGCTTATCCTAGAACACTAAACTTAAGTTACATAACTAAGAGTGATGAACTATGAGGATAACCTTCTCTGAGGATTACATTAGAGATAGCTACACACAAGATAGTAACCACGTTTCTGAGTCACACTCTGCTTCTCATACTCACATCACATGCAGTTTGGAAAATCATTAAACAAGCTGGACAACATATAAACCTGTATATAAATATTCGTGGGTTGACACAGTCCTCGCACATCCTAGAAGTAAGATGGTCAGATTTTATCTCAGATTTCAGTCGATTTTTCCCAAGCAGATGATCTCGTGATCGCTTACTTATAGAATTCATGGTCAAATTCGTTTTTCTTGATCTGGCTTTTGTAGCCCTTCTCAAAATCTTTAGCGAGGACTACATATCTGTTCTCTCTAACAGCTTGCATACCAGCCTAAATGGAATAAAAATGACACATTCAGAGTAGAGCATAAAGAAGATACAAATGAATACATTTCTGTTGTAATGACAATGCATTAGTAACAGTAACAAGATTAACTAAAAAGAACAAAAAGAACTTTGAAAATCACCACGACTCGTAATTTTCTTTACCCGAGTCTTTAAAGTTGATCGACCTCGCAGCTAAATGCATATATATACCTACTGTGAGCTTGCATATGTTGCAAAAATTCACTACAACTCATTTGTATTGTGACTTTCATAACATTCTTCTCAAAATCCAAACGAAATTACTTCTCTTACGAACGTAGCATCACAGTGATGACCACAACGATCTACTTGATTCATTAACCGTTCCTTTCTATGATAAAACAAGTTATAATTCGTTATTCGATGTTTATTCAGTACAAAATTGTGAAATTTGTTTAAATCATATATAGTTATCTATATTACTTATGCAACCAGGAAACAAATATAGTTCCAGGAACTATTTGCGCTATGGTGTATGGATACTATTTTGCGTTATCTGGCACTTCGTTCAAATAACTGGCGTCAGACGAATGTTTTCAAAATAGTCAACTTCGGAGCACATTTCTGGCTCAATGAGAACATTTCGTGATGTTTGCACACTGCAAGTATGCTCACAGTAGGTCTATATATGCCTTTTGTTGCGAGGTCTATCAATTTTAAAGGGTTATCACAGATTTAACGTTTGCTTGTAGATACTATTATAAATTTCTGTTATAATAGTTTTCTTACCTCCTGACAGATGGCGTTGATGTCTGCACCAGAGATTTTATCAGGCCTAGCAACATAATCTTCCAGGTCTACTTCTTCACTCAGATTCATCTTACTGTAAACAAACAAAGTATATTCAGTATCAACAAGACCTTAATGACATAGTTTCACAACCGAACGTGATACTACTAGGCCAATACCAAATTCTTGTTAGTGTCAGTTTTCCCATAGCTGTGATGCATTTCTGTCAACGCTATTCCCATAACAGTAACATTAGTCGTACGTGTTACCTTAGCATTAACATTACCTTGAACTTTACGATGTTTCTTACAACGTGGTACTCCTGTTACTCGCGCTATTAGAAATGACACGCTGCTAACGCTGCCTCGCGTACTACTGCCTAATCTGATGACAGCCATACCTGGTAATTGTGGAGAAGATGAGTCGTTTCTGTCTGCGATCGGGCATGGGGAACTCTATCTTTCTGTCCAGCCTCCCTGGTCTTAGCAGCGCTGGATCTAGGGTGTCATGTCTGTTGGTTGCCATTATTACCTGTGTGAGGATGTTTAACATGTCAACAGGATTATCTAGGATTACACAGAGAATACTGCATTTTAAACTGTAATATCACACATCTGTGTTAACTGGGTCTTCACAGATCTTATTTCATGCTTTCCTATACACTAAATTGTCCTCCAACATCATATTGCATTAGTTCATTTCTTATAGTATATATTTCACAACCCAAGCAAATATCAATACACGACATGATAGTACCTGACATAATATTCCGTCATACTTTCCAAAGATAAGATAAGATGACTAACCTTTACATTGACAGTCTGATCGAATCCATCCATCTGATTGAGCAGCTCAAGCAAGATTCGTTGTACTTCTCTGTCAGCTAAAAAATGGTTTTGGCACCAGTGATCAGACATTAGTGATTGATTGAACGAAAGCCACGTTAGCTACAACTAACACTAAATAATAGTAAAGGTTGTGCATTTGGATACCTACAAGTTTCTTAATGAGTGAGAGAGTTAACTTTCTAAATGCCGAGTGATTTTACCTCCTGTCTGGGCATCAAATCTCTTTGTGGCTATTGCGTCAATCTCGTCTATGAATATGATCGCTGGTGCATTCTCCTTGGCAAGCCTGAATACGTCTCTAACCATTCGGGGCCCTTCACCTAAATACTTCTGCACAAACTCGGACCCCACAACGCGGATGAATGCAGCTGAAATGACAAAGCATGACATAAGCATAAAAAACAAACAACAAAACATTCTCACAATCAAATATGCTTGAAAGAATATATATATATATATTATACATAAGAATTTTTTTTAATAGAACAAGTTGTTTATCCGAGGCCTAATAACGTGCGGACCACTAATATATATATATACACATATATACATATATAGTTCACACGATAAATTCAAGGTTGATGATAATATATTTATATGCTTATAATATATATATAAGTATATATATATATATATATAAACATAAATATATAATCATCAACCTTATTGTGTGAAATGTTGTGATTTATGATTACCAGTCGTGTGATGTGCGACAGCCTTTGCCAGCATGGTCTTGCCGCACCCGGGCGGGCCAAACATCAGCACGCCACGCGGCGGATCAATGCCGATCTGTTTGTACAACTCAAAGTGAGTGAGCGGCAACTCCACGGCTTCCTTCATCTCCTGCTTCTGGATGTCAAGCCCTCCAATGTCCGCATAACCTACATCTGGCTTCTCATCTAACAGACAAAGTAATGTAATGTGTGTATACATATATACCAGGAGTGAATAATAATAGATTATTATATAGAATCTATTATTATTCGCTCCAGTATAGATTTATGTATGTGTACATATTTGAGAAAAGTGCACAGACACCAATGGATTCATAACATTAAAGTAGAATAATGTCACAAATTTATTGCATGGAGCGACCTTTTGAGGAGCACCATCCCTTCCTCAGGCAGAATGGGAATGTTTCCGTTCTGCCGGGGGAAGAGACATTGCACGTGCGTGTGCATGTCTGCGCGGGTGTGTCCGTGTGTGGGTTCCTGTCTAAGCATACGTGCATGTGTGCACACCTGCGTGTGTGCAGGCATGTGGGTGTTTCTGCGTGCATATGGGTGAAGGTATGCTGCACAAAAGCATATTCTGAACTACATTTGTTATCAATTTAATAGCAGAGTCTGGGCATAGGTAACTGTTGGTACTTACCAGCACCCAGCATGGAGATGCTGCTGTCAGCTTCAGGGGGCAACACATCAACTAATGCATTGCTGTGCTTGTGTAATGCCACACTGGCACTTGGCTTCAGCAGTTCTCTGTCTATAGTCGACAGAATCCGGACATAGTAGTTGGAGCCTATCGATATATAAAAACAGCTCACATATAACTCATTTAGATGTGAATGGATGTATGGAAATCTGAAAGGCTATCCTCTGCACATACAGTACAGTGATAAAAGGGTATATAATGGAGTGATATAAACAAAACTATCTAAATCTATCTACTTGAGCTCCTAGCCTCCTACTTCATGGAAAATTATGATTACACAAGAACAGTGTTAATTATCTCAAGATATAAGATTATTAAACACTAATTTTCACAGAAACATTACTAATTTATACTGTTTAACATTAACCCACTTTTACTTCAAAATGTTAAGTACCGTACAAACTATAATTGTGGTATGGAAATATATTAGTAAATGAGAAGGAAGGTAAATGAGTTTTTAAACAGAGGAGTAGTATGGTACCTGTGGTTGAACCAACTATTGCTGTGTTCTGATCAACAGCTTCAAGAAACTGCCCGATCACTAGAGGAACACTCTGTATACGTTTCACCTCCTCTTGAGCATGGAGGAACTCCTTCCTCAAGTTCCTTAGTTCATCCTTAATGTATTCCTCTTGAACACCGAGGAACTCCAGCTGCCTTTGCAATTTCTATATATAGTGTGAAATAGCATTATTATATCAAGAATTTCAACATCGTGTAGCCATACATTATGCAATAGTTATGTGTTTCTACATGTGAATGAGGTGATCATCATATGTATATATTGTGAGGCTTGCCACAAATATTGTTTCATGCCACAGCGTGGCGGATGCCAAATTATAACCTTCATAAAGAGGCGTTTGTCACGCTATCTAGCAACCGATGTATTAAGTTTTCTTGATATAAATATTCAGTGTTGTGGCACATGCTATATATAGATTACATACTTGGTCAAGCCAGGTCAGACACAGGGCTAATTTTTGAGGCGATGATGGCAATGGCTGGCATACTTGCATTGTATATTGAAAGACACTGGTTACGATGGTGTGCATGAAACCAATTTCGGCATTTGGGAAGGTCAAAATTTGGTGTCCGTCATGTACGTGAGCGGTTTCTTAAGTCAAGAAATATGAAGGAAAGTAAAATGTTAAATTTAGTAATTATGGTACCGTACCTTGTACTTTGTGTAAAGATCATCTCCATCCGGGAGATCAACACCAAGTGCAGGTGGTGGTGTCTGTTTCGTTTCAGGGCTAGTGGGAGTTTCTTCCTGAAATGGCAGAAATTCCAAAATACACTGAAACTTTCATTGTTTAATAATAATATGATTATTAGTACCCTATTGGCGCATTCACACGGACGTTTTTGGCCCGAGCCTAATTAGGCCCTCGCCAGATTTGGCTCGAGCCGAGCGTTCACACAGACGGTTTTTCGGGCCGTGCCAATTTGGCACGAGCCAATTTGGTCCCATTGACAACGTCGGACCAGGCCCGAGCCAAATTTTAGCACCAGCTTTCGGCGAGCGATAGAGCAGTAGAATCGGTTGAGCGGTAGATGCCGCGAGTGTCGAACGTGTACTTCGACGAAATAAAGTCCAAAACAGTATAAAAATTCGAAAAAGTTGAGCGGAGAAAGGTTCGTGTTGAGAATAAACCCAGTTTGGAAGTTCTAGTCTCTGAAAACGCACCAGCAAACCGGCCCGAGTGATTCACTCGGGCATTCCTCCGCACAAAAGGATAGGGAGGCTTTGTAACCCTATCCTCTTGGGTTTGGGTTACATTATGATTATTGTATCTAAGTATAGAGTAGAGCTAGCCTAATGACATGGCAAATTTCCGTCGGCTTCAGAAGAACCAGACGATTATGCAAATTTCTAGCAAGCCAATCAATAACACGCTTTTAAATTAGTCTTTGCTCTATTGTCGAACTATAGAGAGAATGACACGTCCCAATGAAGATAATGTTTAGATGTAGTACAACAACAAACCTTGTCTCCAACTGTGATACCTATTTCTTCCATTTTGATATAGGCCGCTTACGGAAGACAGTGGCGTCCTATGGTGGCGTCAATATGCGGGCTGGTAGGTAGCTAGACTGGTACCCGTCCTTTCTTACAAGCTCGATATAGGCCTATATCGACTTTGTGAGAAGGGACGGGTATCAGTCTAGTATATAGAAAGCGGATGATATCATATTCAACATTCACAGCGTTACAATGTGCGCAGTATAATAATAATGGAAAATTATGTAAATACGTGTAAGTAAAATAAATAAAAAATTGTAACAGTGCATTTTACTCTAATATTTGACTACATTCAATATTATCTAGTGCTATCCTAACTTATTACTACCTCTACATTTCGCTATTACCGGATGCGATGACGAAATAATCATGGCTGCGCCCTAAGCAGTGATAGTGACAGTGCTGTTCTACTTCAATCAACATTACTTCAATACTTCTAACTAGGAGTAGGATTGTACCCTTGTGGTTTAAAAAAAACAATATACCAGGTGGTTTCACACGCTTCTGCCAGCTTAGTCAGGCGAGTAAGGCACTCACTACACATTACTCACTTAGAGTCATTATTAATATGGCTGTTGCTCCTGCGACGGTACCGTCGCGATTATTTTTCTTTCTCAACTCACGGTACTGACGGTACTGACGCCTTGATTGTTGAGCTTGTTTTCCTTGCGATATACATAGCACATCCAAAATTTTAATTTCAATATGTGGCAGCAGCGCAACGGGTATAGCGGCGCTTGGCCCCAAGTATGAATGGTCCGCGGGATCCGAACCCCATCCGTTTTCTAATTATTTTCCTGTTTTCTGTATTTTTCTATCTTTATCTGTTAACATTTTTTTTCCAATTAACGCAAATATTAACATTATTTATTTTACAACATTTTAATAACAACAATTAATTTTTAGCAACAATTAAAAATTAAATTTTATAATTTAATAGAGTTAGGGTTAGGGGTTGTGTTAGGGTTAGGGTTAGGGTTAGGGTTAGGGTTAGGGTTAGGGTTAGGGTTAGGGTTAGTTGGGTCTCGTATATCGGATATGCGTATATATTAATATCGTACCAAAAGCAACGGTATTTTATTATTCGCCGATAGATGGCGCTGGCATCACTACCGTGAGTTGAAGAGAAAAAATTCGCGACGGTACCGTCGGCAGGAGCAACAGCCTATTAATATAAGGCCCCATTCCTATTTTGACAACCCGGCGAGGTTTAAACCGCTAACCGCTAACCCCTAACCCTAACCCTAACCAAACTCACGACATGGGTGTGTAAACGCTACTTGTACCAATATAAGGACGTGGACCAGCATCGGACACCTGTTCGTATGCGCTATTCGTCGAGGCAGTTGTTGCGGCGCATGCGCTGTTCATGTAGCATGCCGCAGGCGCACGGCATGAGTGCCGAGGTAGGAAGTGTAAAGGGTGGTCTGGGGGTCTCGCCCCCCTCACAATTTTTATATCTAGACGCTCTAAAATGCTATTTACTCTTTAGATTTATGTTTTTTTGCCCTTTAGGCTGGGTCCCCGTAGCGTTTTGCTACAGCAGCCCTATGGCTGTGACGCCCCTTGATACATGCGTTTCAGGAGCTAATAATGACAAATTTGTAATTATTAGCTCCTGATGTGTTGCGTATGTAGTTATACACCATAGATAGTGTTTGCTCCTATCACTCGCGTATATAAGCGAACCGAGTCGGTTTATAGTTAGTGTTAGGGTTAGGGTTGTGTGTAGGATTAGTGGTAGGGTTAGAGATTAGGCATGGTTCGGTAGTATGCGCCTCCCCAAAATAGCATTATATTACATTTATGTAATACAATGCAGTGCTTGACACTCGGCCAGCCGAAGGCTGGCCAAAATTTTTTTTTTGGGCCAGCCAGAAATTTATTTCTACTGGCCGCAAAATGAAAAGTGGTAGCCCAATTTTTCGCATTGGCATTTTTTCGGTTAAAATATAAATCATAACCATAACGACACATATTAATATGATACAGTATGCAGTATTTGTATAGGTGTGGCGCCAGCAACTTGTATGTATTGTAGGCCCCTATCTGTGATATGGGCCGGTGGCCTTCTTTACCTGAATAAAGAAAATTTGAACCATAAGTTTTTCTCGGCTGATGACGACGCTCTTTTAAAAAAACTCCACGCGTCCGCCATGATTTTTCTTTCTTTCGGCTTCAGCCTCGTTGCTAACGGTAATTAACCGTGACTATAATCCGCATGTCGGTACTACCAGCATTTCGATTGGTTGAGCTGTCGGAGCTAGCTCGATTTTATCCAATCAGATAGCCATGCAGGGATGGGAATGACAATTTGTGTTTTCAGCCGGGGTCCAGGGGCCGCAGGCCGGTCAGGTCCAGGGCGATGCCTGTCAGGGGTTCAGGGGGCCTGTTTAATACGTACATAATGAACATATGTATTATAAAACAGAGCGCCAACGCACGCTTTATTTGGCTACGCCCAAAAGTTGTCGCGAAAATCCTCCCTTCGCGCGCACGATATAAAATACTCCTAACACCCTAGAGGCCAGGGCGCGATCGCGCGACATTTATGATTATTTTTTATCGTTTTCAAAGGTCATCGAAAAGGGCAGCTCGCGACACCACCTTTTTATGGTTATGTATTATAAACAGAACGTCGTTGGCGAGAAGTGAAACAGTTCTGACCTACAGTTTCCTACGTAGTATGAGGGGCACACGAGCGTATTTTTTTGCCCGATCGCGGCGCATTTTAAAATCGCTCGAAAAATTCGCCCGTGTGCCCGCGTTCACGTCGACGACGATTTCGTACGCCCGTACGAATCGCCCGTATAAAAAATGTTAGATATTTTCGGCCGATTATTTATGCCGGCGGATCGATCCGCTGGAAATTCGCTCGTCTGCCCGTGTCCGGCGTATTTTGTGGAGCGAATAAATTAATCGGACGTGTTGTTGATATCATGTGATCCGTCGAGTGGCGTACGCGTACGCTCTCAAATTCGCTACGTGTGCCCTTTCGGGATCGGGCGTATAAATTCGCTGGCGATTTTAATCGTCGCGATCGGGCGAAAAAATACGCTCGTGTGCCTCTATAGCTCTAGTACTATAGCCCGCGTACAGTTGCTGCAGGCTATGTACGCCTGCGGCAACTGTACGCGGGCTAGAGCTAGTGTGCCCCTAGCATACCACGTGAAACAGTCGCAGAGCCTCCGCGGCTACTTCATAAAACGAGCCCCAAGGTCAGGCGTGCCGCGGCGGCTTTGATCGCGGCGCTTTTGACGCGGCGGCAGTTTTCGATCGATCGCGTACTAAAGCGTATTATATATTACATAGGAAGACTAGGAAAGCCGTGTCCGCCGAGTGTTGCGATAAATCGAAATCTGAGCACTTGTTTTGCGCTGTGTTAACGCCGAACAGAAATTGTACTCGCCCAAATATTTTATTTTGGGCCTGTAATATTTTGTTTTTGGTATTTTTTAGTCGCCCAGCAGAGGTTTTGGTCGCCATTGGCGACCGGGCGACCGGCTGTGTCGAGCACTGCAATGTGAACAGCGCATGCGCAACAACTGCTCGGACGAATAGCGCATACAAACAGGTGTCCGATGCTCGGACGAATATCCACGTCCTTAATATAACTACCACTACCACTACCAGTAGTCCGTACCAATTACAATAGTGTCAATAGGTGCGGGCGGACATACGGGAACTTTGCCACATCCGGGACTTTCTTAATCTAGCAACCAGCTGTGGCCGGTGAAAACAAACAGCCTGTCTCCCGTGAGCTTACACACGCAATACCGCCATTTCGCTAACACACCCCCCAAAGGCATATTTAATTGTTCCTTGCATATATGCCAAAAACTTGTGTAGCTAGTATGGCGGGTTGCTCCACAATCATATAATATTGCACAGATAAGAATAAGAATTTTTTGAGCTGGCCAACAATGACATAACAGAGTCCAGAGAGGCGTGATAAGACAATAACGTGGCGTGATGCCACTTAAGCTGGAGAGGATCTATGTCCGCCAGGGTACTGCCGGAACGTACGCCTGGTAACTATCTAATTGGCGCGGACGTACCTCGCCTACTCGCACTACGAAGTCTAGGAGTTGCCCTATGACGCTACTCCCTAACCGCTAACCCTAACCCTAACCTACATAATGATTCAATATGTTACGCAGGGTACGTTCCAGCAGTACCCTGGTGGACAAGACCCTATGAGGCACCACTTAAATGTCAAATGACGTAAATGAGTAAATGTAAAGTGGACGGCACTGGAGTCCGAAAATTCTCCACTATTTGTTCTGATCATTTCGTGCACAGGTAGATACTACCTTTTATAAGCTGCGTGGTGCGTGCGTGCGTGTGAGTGTGTCACTGCTGTTGTGCGAGTGAATGTGCGTGTGCATGCCATCATGTGTGTGTGTGCGTGCGTGCATCGTGCGTGCGTGTTTCGTGTGTCCGTTGTGTGTGCGTGTGCGTGTTGAGTGTGCTGCTGAGTGTGTCACTGTGCGTGTGCGTGCGTGTGTGCGTGTGAGTGTGTCACTGTGTGTGTGAGTGCGTGTGCGTGTGTGTGCGTCTGTGTGTATGCGTGCGTGCGTGCGTGTGCGCGCGTGCGTGTGCGCGCTTGCGTGTGCGCGCGTGCGTGTTTGTGTGTCGTTGTGTGTGCGTGTGTGTGCCTGTGCGTGTGCATGTGCGTGTGCGAGTGCGTGTGAGTGTGCGTGCGTACTAATGCAAAGCAAACAAATAAGAATAGCTTAAAATATTTTATATTTGCAGTGCATATATGTATCTTACATAATGTCATAATTATAGCTACAGAAAGGCTATCTATATACTCGTAAGGCATATTAGAAGAAATTTCATTAAAAAACTTATTAAAACTTCTAAACCAAGTGACGGATAATTTGTATCGTTATGCAGTAATCTATGGGCGCCAGTGACGCGATCGTGTTGTTTTCACCGGCGTTCTGCTGGTGGTCACGTGACTACTGATCTGTGACGTAGCGCTGCCCTCACCTATACATATTCCAAATCATTGCACACTTTTATTAGCTATGCATTTATGTTATAATCAGATAATTTAGAAAGGAGTTATTTTTGGAAGTTGGCAAACTCCGTACTTTGACTTACATTACTGCACATGCTCGAACACCATGCCAGTGTGCTGAGTGTGTAAAATATCAAGAATAATTCTAACACTAACAGAAATGGCTGCCTTATTTGAATTTCTTCCTTATCAAATCTGAAAAATGCTTGTTGACATGAAAATACATGATTAGCAATAGTGTGTTTATAGTTAGCAACAGCGTGGAAGTACAAAGAACTGCTCAGAGTTATCATAAGTTAGATATTTAACCTGAAGCTGACTGCTGGAGTTGCTACCACTCCAACTTACAGCAGAGAAGTTCAGTGGGTGTCTGTGTCAGCAAAAAGCTCAGGTTACCTCCCTATCAGGCCACCCATGGAAGCGACCCTTTGTTGGCTGGGCAGCTGTAACGGTGCCACGCCACCCAGCACTGTGTGCTACGTACACTCTTCTATGAGTGGATGGTCCAGAGAGACCTGGATCTCTGGGAAACTGCAGGGCACGTTAACATTTTCCACTTTTTATTCACTCCATTTTCTGCACAATCACACGCATGCGACCGGAATTAGTGTACTCCTCGGACGCTTCCTGCGTGCGTGGACTGTCCAGTAAAAAAGTAGATGGATTTAAAGCTTATGCTGTGCCCACTCGATACCACTTGCACCCCATAATCAAACTCAATATTTTTCTTCCAAGAAATGTTAGCCCAGTACAGGAGTTGTGTAAATAGTGTTGGATGTTACCATATGCCTTTTTTGGTATATCCAGCATAATTACCTCTAGTTACAAATTACAATCTTTGCTCCACTGTTCAGTTGTGGCACTAGAAAGTTATAATAACACACGCCCTTGTAAAAAATAATTATCTTAGAATCTCATGAAAATCTTATGTTCTATCACATCAAGAGTACGTAAACTCTTACACAGTTATACCGTTGCACCCGTTTTACCTACAAAACATGGTTTATAGGTGCATCTATTAAACTAAAAAAATTGGGTTCTTGCAGGTTTTCCCTCACATAATTGTAATATGGCGGCTGCTCATGCTACTACCACAAGCTATAAGTGCCGGCGATGTCGGCAGATGCTGTGCCTTTCAAGCTGCATTGTTGATTCTCATGGGGAGCTGGCTAAGGAGGTCAGCTCTTGTGCACTCGACACAAGCAACCCTGATCCACTGGCAGGATTACTCTTCTTGGATTCTGATAAGCTGCCTGAGTGGCTGACAGCGCAGATAGACGAGGTACGTAAATGGTGGAGGTAAATTCGTTATTAATATTGTGTGAACTTTGTCTCGATGTATGAATGTGTTAAGTAGAATCTTTAAACTAAGGTTGTGTACTTGATTTTTTTTATTCCAGGGAGAATGGTCCAAGGGACGAATACATTGTCCCAAGTGCCGAGCTAGGATTGGCCTCTTTGATTTCATCACTGGAAGCAAATGTGGGTGTCTGCAGTATGTTCTCCCAGGAATTCAGATTAACAAGAGTAAGGTCGACCACCATGTTCCACGCCCATTGCAGAGCTCAGTGGTGACACCCACCCGATCCTACACATGTACCGAAGCTAAGGAGTCTGGTGCTGATGTTGGTGTTGGCATGCTAACGAATCTTGTCAGCCAACCTGAATGTGTTTCGATTGAAAATACAGCCAGTCATGTTGCTGGTCTGGAGACTGAACCAGTACTACACTCAAGTGTTGCTGCAAGTGAAAGTGCAGGTTCACTTTCTCAAAGGAACCTCTCTAGTGTCACGTGTTATCAGACATCTCCTCATGCAGACACAGAAAGCATCTCTCCTAGAGTCACCATGGATGAAAACACTGTAAGTGATACATGGGGAGGGAGTGCAAATACCGTCGATGCACCTGATCCGTCTTGTTGTGAGATTGCCCCGAGTAATGCAGCAATGTGTAACACAAGAAGTGGAGTTGAGTTGCTGGGAAGGGAATGTTTAGCCAATATGGAAACAGCCGAGATTAGAAGAGAAACCGTGGATGTGAAACCGAGAGAGGAGTGCGTACAAAATCAACGTTGCTGCAGCGATAGTGAGGCAGACCGTTGTCATCTGACATGTGCAATTTGCTGGGAGCTGTATCATCATGCAATGTCTGTGAGGCCATGTGGTCATATCTTCTGTGAAGGTTGTCTCAGAGGGCTCACCCGGTATAGCCGTACCTCTGCTACAGTCGCATGTCCTCTGTGCCGAACTGTTATCATGTGCTGCGTGTCCGAGCCAGGTACAAAACTGTCAATTACAAATACTGCAATATACATGCAAGTATCATCCCTACCCTCCTGTAACAACCGACCCAACCAAATGTTTATTATAAGTTAGCCGGTGGTGGAAGTATGGTCTGTACTCAAGCACTTAATTGCATCAGTTGTTTCAAAGTAATCGAGCTGTCTGGATTTCACATGCATACATAACACAGTTAAAGGCAGCCATTTATTGCTCTAGGGTCTGGCATCGATTCCTTTATCATGCTATCGATTCTTTATTTAGGGGATTTGAACGATTTGGAACCTATTACTAAAGGTGCCCAACCCAGCTTTTGGGTTCATTAGAAGCTGGGTAACGTTAGTGGTATGGTATAGGGTTGGTGCCGCAGTGTAGGGCTTTCTGTAGAAGGTGGTTGAGTCTTGAAGCTCTGACATCTACTTGGTGCTACAGCAGAATTGTCGTGAGAAGGTAGATAGTGTTCGAGCTCTGGCATGTACTTTAGCGTGTTTTATAAATGTATTGCAAACCTTTCCCTATACTGTCAGTAGTCTGTGAAATACTATAATGAAACTGATCGTGAAGGGTGATAGTATATGTGACTTGTGTGTGTGTGTGTGTGTGTGTGTGTTTGTGTGTGTGCGAGCGAGCGAACGTGCGTGCGTGCGTGCGTCTCTTCTCTTTTCTATACCATACAAGTTTTAAAATGGTAAATAATATTATTATAAACTAAACTCGCCACTAGGTGTCGCCAGGGTTTCGATTCCCGTCAGTCCTCGTCATCGCAAAATCCTGGCTGTCCCTCTGTGCGTGCGTGCGTGTGCGTGTGTGTGTGTGTGTGTGTGTCGGTGCGTGCGTGCGTGCGTGTGTGTGTGTGTGTGTGTAGATGAAACACCGTTCTCACCAATTCTTATGCTATATAGGTATTTGTGAAAGGGTATCTGTAAATGATTTGCAAAATCAAAGCAGAAAAAGTTGTAAACCCACACTATGTAGTATGAGTAAATGCCTTTCTTTCAAACTCGTCCACTTGGCAAGATAGGAAGAGCCATTTGTACTATTTTATT